GACACACAGACACACACACACACACCCTTCCTCAACAAAAACAAAAACAAAACCACACATAATCTAGCCAGTACGCGTGCCAACCTGTAAGAATGGAAGAGACAACACACAACAATAAATTCCCCATCAGGACAGTGAACGTTGCTCGCAAACTCCCAGCAATTATTACCGCGTGACCCCACAATGGCGTAAACACTTCCGCTCTGCTGGTTGTGTGATGTTTCCCCACATTGGGAGGGGCTCCCCGCCCACCCCTGTGTCTACCCTGTGTTAACCCTGTGTCCAGCCCTGTGTCTACCCTGTTTTCACCCTGTGTAGTGTCTACCCCTGTGTCTACCCTGTGTATACCCCTGTGTCTACCCTGTGTCTACCCTGTGTCTACCCCTGTGTATACCCCTGTGTATACCCCTGTGTCTACCCTGTGTATACCCCTGTGTCTACCCTGTGTCTACCCTGTGTCCACCCTGTGTCTACCCCTGTGTCCACCCCTGTGTCTACCCTGTGTCTACCCTGTGTCTACCCTGCGTCCACCCTGCGTCTACCCTGCGTCTACCCTGCGTCTACCCTGAGTCTACCCTGCGTCTACCATTCACCTTCCCTGCGTCTACCCTGCGTCTACCCTGCGTCTACCCTGCGTCTACCATTCACCTTCCCTGTGTCTACCCTGTGTCTACACTGTGTCTACCCTGCGTCTACCCTGCGTCTACACTTCGCCTTCTCTGTGCCTACCCCGACCCACAATGAATTAACCCCTCACTCACCTTGCTCCCACCCCAAGGCTCGGTCATGTATTCTTTTTATCTGGTGGAGGGGGGGGGGACTTTTTTTTTCTTGACTTATGTACTTATGCATTTACTTTTTTTCTTTTTTTTTTGGGGGGGGGGGGGCGGTGTATGCGTTATTTTAAGGGTGTACCATCCTTTATGTCAGTCAAAAATAAACGCTGATGATGAATGAGTGAAAAAATGTTTAACGTGCATCTCCGAAAAGACCACGCGGAGTGAGAAATTGGTGTAAACTGTCTTTCCCAAGGACACACCGTCGGACCATGCTGAGGCTATACCCCCGAAACCCACAGTCTCACGATTACGAGTCGGTAACCTAACCACTAGGAAGAATGAATGAGAAAAACAGACAGGCTAACGGGTACCAAAAGAGGAATGTTAAGGAAGAGGGACCTGCTACCGGCAACGTCTTCCAACCATCTACGTTCTTTCTATCAAAAGTGAGGGAAGGTAAGGTGGCTTGAATGTCGTATGTCGTAACGAGTGCATCTCTAGTTCGTAGATGATGAATCTCTGTACCGTAGGTTGATATCCTGGTATTGGTATCATCATCAAGTGCCAGATTTTTTCGACAGACATCGGCGATCATGATTCTCCATTAATTCCTTTGCTTGGATGCTCTTTAAAAAAGCTTGATTACCCAACCCATTCGCTTAGGTTCCCTTAGTAGTTTGTTCTGGGCCTACCCTGACTCGTTTACCTTCAATTTGCCAGTGAGAGCAAGATGTTCAAGACCTTTATGTATTGTTATATTCCCCCAAAATTTCCCTCGTAGACTGATAACGTTAATCTCCTCTCCTCTCCTCTCCTCTCTTCTCCTCTCTTCTCCTCTTTTCTTTTCTTTTCTTTTCTTTTCTTTTCTTTTCTTCTCTTCTCTTCTCTTCTCTTCTCTTCTCTTCTCTTCTCTTCTCTTCTCTTCTCTTCTCTAATCTTATCTGAACTTATGCTTTAATTTTAGAAGCAGTTTTGCGGCACTTGCGAGACAATAATAAGGTACAAAAAGAGGCCAAAGATTAGAGGCGTTACAAGAGAGTAACAAACACACAAAAAAAGAAGGAGAGATCAGGGCGGTAGAAATTTGATAGAAAACAAAGAGCGAACCACACTAGAGCACCCGTCAAACACCCGGAATACCGATAAAAATAATAAT